ATATATATATTTAAAGAATAGAAATTTGGAGATACGGGGCTGGAAGGACCTTAAATGCGTTAACCTCAATGTGATCCTCTAATCTGGAAGTGACATCAGTTTAGCTCTGGCAAGATTCTTTGAGGTTACTAATGTTAAAAATTCAATATTTACATATGTATTTGTTTACTTATATGCTGGTTTTATCTAAACAAATCTCTTATAAATTAATGGGAACATTGCAATAAAACAATGGTAAAAACAACAGTGCTCCAAGGAACGCTCACGGGTCCCAAATCCATAGCCGGAGTTGCAAAGCCAAATAAAAGACTCCTTGATTTCTGCATATCTTCAGCTCACCTTCACTGCTTTTCTATTTAAACCACAATTATTTACCCTCTCTTAAAAAATGAGGTGTACAAAGGATAAATCTTGACAAAAAATTATGATATGCACATTATTTTCTCTCCAGTCTTGTTCCTACAATCTGAAAGTCAGTCTATACATGCAACAACAAAAAAAATTAAAATAATTTTTAAATGTCTGTCAGTTTGTCATCTTTTTGTTGTTCATCCATCCATGCATCATCTCTTCATGTAGTTCAAACCCAGTGTTCTTAAATGGCCTCCTCTCCTTAAACAAAATATTGTTTCCATTGTCACGTTCCAGCGTTCAGGTTGCATACAAACAGAGATTCAGTTTGTTTGGTGAAAAACTTTTATCTTTATCTAAGAAACTACGTGATAACTAGCACTAAATGACAATGATACAAAGGTGATCAAATCCAAGTCAGTTCTAACAAAGTTAACACCATCACCCATATATACACCCACCCACCATCACCAATCACCATGACCCAAACCCTCAGCCACTTCCCCACTCAGTGTCATTATAGCCTCTTTCCTGGTTAGTCGCATCTGAGCAAGAGAGTTACATCAGAGTAGGCACCCGAATAGAAGAGCCACATGCAGCTACAAGCTCAATCAACATCAGAGAGGCAACATCAATGTGACAGCATTAGTGGCGTGTAAGCATGGCCGATCGGGCATGGTGATGGACATGTTCCCCCTGGATGGCAGTCTGAGGGCTGACATCCATATAAAATGACTAGGTTCAACTATTATTATATGTGAAATAATAGAATATTGAATAAATCATTTTTTTACTTAGTCTATATAACCTGTTTAAAACCATAAATAAGGATTTCTAGACTACAACAGCAAGATTTACGTTCTGTGTGCTAAGATAAACAAAGCAAAGCAACTTATGAATTGGTATAGTTGGTATATAAAGTAGGTCAACAGTATCTTATTTTGAGAAAGACAGGGATTTTCTACTTATAAACATTTTTAAAATGAAAATAAATAATATATAGTAAAATATATAACATCTATAAGTCCTCAACTATCAAGTTTGTAATTTTCCACCATCTTCAAGTAAAACTGTAAACTTTTGATCTTTCGAGGCTAAAGGTCTATTTTAAATTTTGGAGAACCTGTGAATGGCACATCCCAAAATTATGTAATGGGAGACTTGTTTAATCACACAATGGCTGCTATAAATGGTCAATAAGAAGAATACATTTAAAAGACAAATTAGACTTTCACATTGCTTTCTACAACTCCAATAGGGTCTTTCTGGAGCCTAGAGTTATTACCCAAAGAGAAATAAAGTTTAGGGGCTGGGGTGCTTAGCTTTGCAGCCTGCCAGCTTCATGTTTAATTTCTTTTTCTTAGAAGAATATTTTTAAAAATGCATGTGAAGTAGGGGTTTGGGGACACTAAAAGCAATGTTTAAGGGTACTTTTGTGCCTGCAAATACCATTAACCCAACCCTTACTATGTATTTATCTATAAAGCAAGTCTATAATGCTATTCTCAGGAAGCACCGCAAATATTTTTTCCGGTGTGTCAGTTCTTGCCCTTTAGCTATTGCTGCTATGAAATCCAGAAACCAGCGCAGCAAATTTTATGGTAGCAGGGAGAAGAATTTAACTGAGTTTCTGCATTAGGATTTACAGTGTGAATAGCGAACAATAGAGAGCTATCTTACCTTTAAGAGAAGGGGGGGTGTAGACACAGGGGGCATTCCTTTTGTTTTTAAGGTGGTATCCTTCACCCAGAGATCTCTGGAAATCAAGAAGAAAGAGACAAGAGATTTGAAGGTGAAAGCTTTCTTAAAAATTGCTATGAAATAATAATATAAATGGCTAAATTAGAGTTTTGTATTCACTTTGATCCAGGGAGCATGTTCTGTGCATATATAGCACTGAATATAGAGTTAGATTGTGTACAGTATATTTTTTCACATATATGTTGCTTAGTTTTCCATCACTGTTTCATAAAACTACAAAATAGGGTTCTGAAATATGTAGACTACAAAAAAAACCCTACAAATTTATTTTTAAATCGCAACTACTTGTGCAGATTGGAGAATGACTGAATTGATGCATTCATAACCTTAGGAGATTGGTCTCGCATAAAAAAAAGGTGATGCCTCTTCTAAAGAGTTTCAATGTCTATGATTTTGACATTGTTTTTACTAGCTGCCCATTTCATTCAATGATGATCCTTTGGCAGTTAAAACCTAGTTGCTCTGATTAATCAAATTAAGCAATTTTATCTTCAGAACATTTATTTGTCACCCATGCAAACTTAGTTACACAGAACAGTAGTTAAGGTCCTGGAATTGGAACAGGGAAGACCTTGAGCCAAGGTCTCATTTGACTACAACTCACTGGACATCTTGAGTTAGTCATTCTTAGTCAGGTTGTGTTGGGAATTAAATAATAAATAAAATATTAAAATGTTCCCTTGAACTCCCAAAGAAAATACAGGAAAAAAGCAATGGTTACCAAAAAGAATTGTAAGCAAACTACAACATATCTCTAAATCTGACCTCTCTCCACAGGCCATGATAATAGCAATAACAAAGCCACTCTTCGCCATCCAAATTACACTCCTGAGCAGTGAAAGACTACAAGCTTCTTTTTCTTATGATACTCAGAACAAAACTGTAAATGTGTTCATTATCATCCCGCATCTATATGGGCATCAGCTCCTGGCATGGTGATCTCAGCATTCCAACCAAAGGCAAAATAGACCCAGCATGTCTGAAACATTTTCCATGTCCTAGAGTCACGTATAGATGAATGTTCTGAGTTGAATTAAGGAGGTGTACAATAAAGAGAACATAGCCCTTTTATGAAAGAATTATAGCATACTACATAAGAAACTGAGCTGCAAACTATTGATCCTCCATTCAAATACAACTCTTTCTATTAAGTTATAGTTTATCTTAAGCAAGCTGTGATTTTTTTTAAAGCCTCGTGAGTCATATGCAATATGGAGGGAGAATTAATTGGTATATTCCACACGATAAGAGCCAGTTTGATGTATAGTAGTGGTTAAGGAAATCAGGAGACCATGAGTTCTAGTCCTGCCTTAGGCACGAATTTAGCAGGATGATGCATGAGCCACTCATTCTCTTCCTCTGTCTTAGGAAGCAGGCAAGGGCAAACCATTTCCAAAATCTTGCCAAGAATACTTCAGGGACTTGTCCAGATAGTCAGAATTCAAAACTGACTTTAAGGCAGCAAAAACCAAACTAAAGCAAGCAAAACAATCCACAACTGTAGCTACAAATGTATTAAAAAATTTGAACACATTTATTTAAATAACTAAAACACCTCATTTTGTTACTTTCTGAATAGTAATAACAGAAGATGATCACAATGAAATTTCTCCCCTGATGCTATGACTGTTTATTGGACAAATATAAGTGAAATCTATTCCTGAGGATGCCTAAGAGGGCTTTTATAGGTTCAGTAAGATCCTTACACATTCTGTCACAATTTCATAAGAAAAGTGAGAAGACAGAACATTATCCTTAGATTTTCTTTGAAACTAGGTTAGCTTTTTCCTAAATATATGTTTAGCTTGTGCTTCTGCATGTTTTAGCTAAACATTCTTTACACCCTTCATATCTTGCTGAAACAACATTTGAAATATGTCTGGGTAGTACAGAAGGAATATAGTTGGAATGCATATACTGCAGTTCTACATTCTATAATCAGGAGGCAAATGTAATTGCAGGAAGAAATGTAAAATACGGATAGGTGCTCCAAGAACCAGACAATTAGTTGTGTTTTCCACTTAGAGGTTGGAGAAGCTATGTCCTCAAAGAAGGAATTGCCATCTTAAAACCTTTTCACTGCAATATTTCTTTCAGAACTTTGCTGTACTTCTTATCTCTCCATCTTGGAATGAAGAACAAATTGGTGAATGTCCCCAAACTGTTCAAGAGATAATATCTCTCATATTAGCCCCAGAGAGAAAATAAATAGTTTCCTTAAAAATACTTGTTTGTAGTTAGTATGACAAATGCTTTCAAGTTCTTCGGAGTCTCTCAGAAGAAGCAATAGAATTATCCTCGTTGTCCTACAAAGTCCCATTAAAGTAAGTCAAGTTATGGGTTTGCACAATAGGCTAAACTCCAACCCTGTATAAAAAAAACACAAATACTGTGTTCCCTTTAATAAGCCACCTGATGGCTTAATAAGTGTAGTGACCACAACACATGGAACCATTATCGGTATCAAAAGTTATCTGAAAGACTGCCTCTCTCCTATTGCCCACCAGGATGGGAAGGCAAGAAATATCACAGGTTCCATTGATTAAGGATCGTGCTCTGGTGAGGCCACCAAAAAGGGCCTTCTTGGTGATGGCCCTTCTTTATGGAACGTCATTCCCCGAGGTATACCCAGCTCCAACCTGCATCTTTTCCAAAAGGCCCTAAAAACATGGCTTGTCAACAGGCTTGGAGACTACAAATAGAGATGGAGCCAATCCTGGCTGATTTGAATGTGTTGTTGTATGGGGGTGGGTGGGGTAGGATTAATGGCTCTGATTGTATGGTGGATTACTTTTTAATTTTTTAGAATTTTGTAAGTCAGTCAGAGTTATCTATGTGTGAATTGGGCAACCAAATAACTAAACGAATAAATCCCTGTTTTAGCCAGGACTGGTGGTGGTATACCAATTCCACCCTGTACAGGTAGTCCAACATTTCTGTGGCTAAGTGACACAGTTATTAAGTGAGTTTTGCAACCTTTCACCACATATGCAAAGTAAATCAGTGCGTCCCCATTGACTTTGTTTGTTAGGCCATGATCACTGCAATTGTCGTCAAGCATCTGAATTTTGATCATGTGACCATAGGAAGGCTGCAATGGTCATGAAAAATGATCATAAGTCAATTGTTCAGTGCCATTGTAACTTCAAATGGTCCCTAAATGAACTGTTATAAGTCAAAGACTACCTGTAATTCCTTCTGATATTAGCATCTCATTGCTATTTCCTCATCTAAAGTCACATGGGATTAGCATGGTGCTAATCTAATTAACTAGTATCCCTACACCAAAGAAACACTGTAAAACTAGTTGGTGCTGCTAGAAGGACAGTTGCTTAGAGGTGGAATCTCCTGCTTTTTCCTGCCTCTCAGCTCTTCCTCCAAGGCAGAGTTTTTCTCACCTTCCTCCAAGGCAGAGTTTTTCTCACCTTCCTTAGCTGCTCTGAGCAGTGATTTTGCCATAGCACAGTAGAGGTGGACAGGTTTGGTTTTTCCCCCCCTTTGCTTTGAAAATAAAACTGAAGGAAGAACACGTTCAGGGAGACCCAAAAATGGAGTGAGGAGCCTTGCGCTGAACAATGTTTCAGGAAAAGAAAAAGGGAAACAGAAATAGAACTAGGGGACTAATTATATCAAAAATGGCATTTTGGTATTTTAAAATTCTGGCTTGAGTGTGAAATCAATAAAAGAGACACAGTTGTGTGAAATATATTGTGCAGACAACAATTTTTAAAAAGGAAAGGGAAAGGGAGGGGAAAGGAGAGGAGAGGAAAGGAAAGGAAAGGAAAGGAAAGGAAAGGAAAGGAAAGGAAAGGAAAGGAAAGGAAAGGAAAGGAAAGGAAAGGAAAAGCAGGGAATATATACAGGACTGGTCTCTGTTCTTGTTCTTTTTGCTTGTATGGATTATATCATTAATGGAAAAAGGGTAAAGAGTGACTTTTGAGATTACTGTTTCTTACAGTAATTTCAAGAGGCAGCCTGATACTTTATTCCTCTTTAACACCCCATTTTTTAAATTCTACATTCTAAGAAACAATGTAGTGGCCTATGAAAAAGGGCATCTGGATGTAGCCAAAAGCAACAGAACAACATCATTAGGCTCTTTTAACACTCTTGGTAAGGCTGCAAGCTTTAATAAGTAAATTCAGCAACTGAAGTGTTAGTTGTTTAATTGGTGATTGAAAACTTCAAAAAGCAGAGCTGAGAATGAAATTCACACTTTAATTTTTGAGTCTATTTTTGTTCTTGCGATACTGTAATACAAATAGATTTTATTTGTTTATTTTTTTAAAAAACTGCCTTTAAATCATACATTTTCATACTTTCCTGACTCTCAGATATTTTGGTAACTTGAAAAGCCATGGTATTTGGCATTTGATTTTTAAAAAAGAAATATTTTAATTGAACTAATTATTCTGTTCAACGGCTGATAACTATTTAAGTCAGCCTTCCTTTTTTTTTTTTTTGCTCATTCTTACTTAGCAAACCTCCATGGTTTGATGTTTAATGATGTTTTGGAAAATGTCCACAGTTCCTTTGCTCTCCATTGGGAAATAGGTGAAAAAATGACCCCTTCCATCTGACCTCTGCTAAGGATTTTAGCTTTGTAAAATAATCTGTGTGGTAGTTAGGGAGGTTGAGCAAAGGGAACAATTAGACTGATAATCTGATAAAATAGCAGGCAAGTCATGGGGTGACTTTGAAAACCAGCCAGACTTTTTCAAAGGCATTAAGCTTCTGGCTCCCAACTCTGTACCAATAATTTCATTACAGTAAAGTAGTTTGCCTTTGTGTTAAAGCAGGAATTTAATGTAACAAGTTAATAAAAAAAGTGGTAGGAGAAGTCAAAAAAGTCAAGACAAAACATTTTATATTGCACTGGTGAGATCGCACTTGAAATACTGCATCCAATTCTGGTTAAAGGTAAACGTTCCACTCACACATATGTGCTAGCCGTTTCCAACTCTAGGGGCAGTGCTCGTTTCAAAGCCGAAGAGC